ACAGTATTTTTAAAATTTGTTTTGATTAATTTATAATTGGTTATATACAATTTAGTAGTGATTGATACATAAAAAAAATAAAAATATAACAGATTGTAGACGTTGAAAAACAAATAACTTCTTCTTGGAGAATACATACATTTGATCAACATCTTGTTATGTGGATGTGGTTCGTAGAGAACAAAATTTTCATCTTTTAAAAAACAAACACCTTAGTTTATTTAGTCGAATCAAATACAATGATATCCTAAAATACAATGATCACGTGTCTTATACAATTGTAATTTATTACAATGTATTAATCACTTGGCACATGCCAATTCAAAATTGAAACCCTAAGATTATAATGGAAAAAACATGACCAACCACTTGCAAAAGTTCAGTTGTCATAAAGACCTTTAGATGAAATTAAAGGAACTTCAATAACTCAAACAAGTTATTTATCATTCCACGACTTATATATCGTGAAAATTGGAGGAAACAACAGATTCATTAGAGAATGTATCCTCAGGAAGATATTAAAACTTGAAGTCTTCATTGTCAGAGTAAAGCTGTTGCCAAAAACTTTCAACATCCTCAACTGTTCTGGGGGAACTCAAATTGAAATTGGTTTCAAACTTGACTTTGGGTTCACATCTAGAACATATATCAAACAGGCACGATGAAGTGTCATGGTCATCCGTGATACCTGAGAAGATGTGATCAGTAGTAGACTCAATTGAACTTTCAACATCATTATTTAATGTTTTTATTTCTGCTGGTTTTGTTTCTGACATTGGATCTTTTGTCACTTGTTTCTTGAGATGGGTGTGCCAATAGTTTTTGACTTCATTATCCGTTCTACCCGGTAACTTTCTTGCAATGGCAGACCATCTATCACCAAGTTTCACATGATAAGATACTTATTTTGCGAATGTATTCCTTAATTAGTTGTACTATAACTTTGAATACAGTTCTTTTTTTTTTCCTTATTTATTTATTTTTGATTTTTTTCTTTATATTTTTTATTTCATATCAAACAAATTTCATTAATTTTTATTATTTAATAAATGTTGAAAAAAATATGTTATAGTTTCAATAGCATAGAACGGCCTATTTATAAAAAATGTATCTTACGATTCTACCAAATGTCCATTGAAAGATTTAAGAGCATTACCATATGATTTAGTTTTGGAAGAACCCAATATATAAAATACTTGTGTTACTAATAACCATCATTTTGTTAAAAGATAGTTTGATATTCAAAATCAAAATAATATGGTTAACAAAAAATAAAGAAATAAAAGTCAATAGAATTTGTACGTAATTATTAATAAATAAATTAAGTAAATTATTAAAAATGACCAAAAAAAAAACTATTCAGATTATCCACTTTAGTCATTCAATTTATTTTGTCAAGTTTTAGCTAATAAACTTTTCAAAAACTGGTTACATTTAGCCCCTTCTTATTTTTGTGCATATTTTTGAATGACAGGAAAATACGAATAAAAAACTACATGCTAACAAGAAACTGAAGTTAGAAATTAAGGAATATGACTTAGGAGGGTAACTATCTTTTATCCGTGTTCACATATTGGCAACTTATTCTTTTTTGTACATAATAAAGCAACTAAGTTGTTTTAACTGTTTAAATTACACCAATATTACCGGTTAATACCTGTTTTAACCGGTAACTCAAAGGAAAAATGATTTAGGAGGGTAACTACCTCTTATCCGTATTCACATGTTGGTATCTTCTTATTTTTTGTACATAAAAAAGCAACTAAATTGTTTTAACTGTGTAACATCTCAAAAATTATGACCGAAAATTTCGTTTTTAATTTAATACTAAAACCATAATTGTCCAACCATTAATTTAATATTCCGGCATCGGGCCCCGCCCGGCATCAGGCACCGTTTGGGATCGAGCCCCGCTCGATATACAGATCTGTCTCTCTCTAGGCCCCGCCCACTAAACACATGCAATCGTATAACATGCTAACACATAAAGAAACATACTGTACCGTATCCTTGTCCTAAGAAACATACTCTGCTAATAATGAGATACGGAACTTCATACGTACTCAGCTAGTTCCAGCCAGGGCTTCAGCGGTGCAAGGTGAGTCTCCTCACTGTGTGAATGGGTCTAAGGCCACAATGTCAGCCCATGTAGTCTATGAGTAGGAAGACCCAGGGGTTAGCCCCAGGTATTGTATGCTAGTATGTTATTCCAGACCAAGGTCCAATGTCGAGCGGGTACCCGAGGAATGTTTTCATGTTAGATTATACTTGTTGTCTGTGTGATACTTGTAGCCTGGTAAGGAGGTGAGTGTGGGCGAGGTCCCATATCTCATCACTAGCTGAGTACGGACGATGTTTCGTATCTCATTATTAGCAGATTATGTTTCTTAGGACAGAGATATAGTAGAGTATGTTTCTTTATGTGTTAGCATGTTATATGATTGTATGTGTTTAGCGGGCGGGGCCTGGAGACACGTGAGGCTTAAGAGAGACAGACATGTATACCGAGCGAGGCTCGATGTCAGGCAGGGCCCGATGTCGAAGTATTAAATTAATGGTTTGACAATTAGGATTTTAGTATTAAATTAAAAACAAAATTTTTGGTCATGATTTTTGGGATGTTACACAGTTAAAACAAGTTAGTTGCTTTCTTATGTACAAAAAATAAGAAGTTGCCAACATGTGAATACGGATAAGAGGTAATTACCCTCCTAAGTCATTTTTCCTTTAAGTTACCGGTTAAAACATGTATTAGCCAGTAATATTGGTGTAATTTAAACAGTTAAAACAAGTTAGTTGTTTTATTATGTACAAAAAAGAAGAAGTTGTCAATATGTGAATACGGATAAAAGATAGTTACCCTCCTAAGTCATATTCCCTAGAAATTACATAGGTTTACAAGCTATTTTTGGAAAGGATAACCAACAATCCTAAGAAATTCTAACTTTTCTACGTCTATTACTAATATAGAAATAGGAAAAAGACCGAATATTATAATAGTTTCATTTTTTCTAGCTTAATCGTTTCGAAAACAAGATTAAAATGAAATAATTTTGGAAAGTTAATTACCTAAAAGTGAAAAAAAAATATGGTCATTGACAGGAAAAAAAACGATTTTCAAATATTTATTACCTAAAATAAACAAAAATAAACTTAATAACGAAGAGTGAACAAATAAAATAGTTTGTTAGTCATTCTTTATTTTTTTTCCTAATATTTATTCAATATTACCCTTCGAATTTAATATTATGCAACCTTTACATATTTTAGTATTTTTTGTTATCTTTAGTGTGATATACACATTTATAGAAGTCTTTTAAGTATATTCAAAATATCTAGATAAAAAACAGAACAAAAAAAAAAAAAAAAAAAAGTACGCACGTTCATTTAAGTCAATGCGATACTTTTTTGTTTGTAAAGACTATAAAGACCAATCAGATAATTTTAGTAAAGAAAAAGACGCTGTGGAATTTAAATAAATTATGCTTTGATTGTTGAAATTAGTGATTTTTTTTTTTAATGGGATATAAAGAAAGTGTATGTTTAGTTAAATATGAAAATTACCTATTCCCATAGATTGAATGGTGATAAATTATCGTATCTTTTTCTTCACTTGTGAAGTTCCCTCGTTTTATATTTGGCTTCAGATAATTCATCCATCTTAACCTGCAACTTTTTCCCGTTCTCGAAAGACCTAAAACAAATAAACAAGTAAAAAACCAAATACACAATCACAAGAGCCAATAGATATAATATCATCTTCTTCTACTTACGATAGATTTTCAGAAACACATGATGAATTGCAACGAGATCATTATAATTACCTGCATACGGAGGCATCTTACACCAATTCCAAATTCCGTATTTGTTGATGTAAGTTATTAACTTTTCATCTTCTTCAGCAGTCCATGCGCCTTTATTTAAACCTGATAATGCATCATATTTTGGAGCTCTCATAACTTATCAAGAGCAATACGATAAAAATGTCACCTTTATCGTCTCTAGATCTTAAGTAAAGACTACTTGATAGTATCAAGGAATGTAGAATGGACTACTTTAAGAACAATAAACCTTCAGAGAACTAGAAACGAGTTCGTCTTATATATACCAGTTGTTAAAGCTTAAATGGTCGTTCCATATGGTCAAAGGAAACTTCACAATAGTTTCATATTTGAAGTCATATAAAATAATTTAATAAACAGGAAGTCATATAAAATAATTTAATAAAATGCAAATAACTGAAGTTTCAGTTTAGTGACATAATTTATGAAGTGTTTATATGTGAAGTTTTTGACAATGAGATGTTCATTCAATGTTTATAAGAATTTTGTTAACTATTCAAAGCGTTACCAAGAATCTTTTATGGGAAAATGATTCAATGTGTTACCAAGAATTTTTTATGGGAAAATATGTAACATAATAAAATTTACTTTTTTTTTTTTTCAGATTTGATCACTAAAGTTATTTTTTATTTATTTTTTATGCAATAAAAACTCTTTTATAAGTTGTCAATTAAACCATTTTGTTCGAATTTAGTAAGTTAGCCGGTGACAATGCTGATGTGTCATTAACTAATAGTTTCTTTTTAGTTTTTTACAAGCCATGTTGCTAATGCACGTCAGTTTGACTTTGTTTTTTGAAACCACCGCCAATAGTATTCATCTTTCTCTAACATACCTCCAACCACAACATCACTGCCCATCATCACCAACAAAATCTAGAGATTTGGTACATTCAAGGAAGACTAGAACGACAGATGGATGATGCAGGAAACGAAACAAAGAACAAATCATGCATAGACAAAGAAATCAGATTGGGATCGACAACTTCAGCAAATGGAGTTCATGGAATTCATTTAGTTCATCTCTCTAAAACCCATGTAATGAAATCTCACCACTGTCCTTAGTCCTGCCCTTGTCTAACACTTCCTCAAAATATGCAATCGTAACAAGAAACTAGAAATAAACAACCACCTAGAAATCCGTCTCCAGTTCAAATGAAACACACCTGCAATTTGTGTCTACCTGTGTCACTTGAATCTGATCTCGTCTATGGTAAGCTGGTTTCTATGATAGAGGAGTGAACCCAAGAGCGAGAAAGGGTTTGGTGGTGAAGAAAGTCGGCGGGATCATAATGATACTAGCGATCACGACGGTGAATGGAGAGGAACTGGTGGCCGACAACTAGTAATTACCAACAATAGCTGTGGGGTGAAGGTTTGATGACAATATCAGGAACTACATGAAAATAGAGGCGAAACCAAACGTGATCGTGATGGGTTTTGAGCATTACATTATTCATATGGTGCACATGCAACCCTAATTGCTTTGGATCTTGGTTTTTCTCTATTGAACATGCAACTATGAATACCAAAGCAATAACACTATGAAGTAGTATACACAATTCGATAATCAGATATGATTAGGGTTGAGAACTTTACCTTACTTGTTATATAGAAATAACAAGAACAATCCTTCTTAATCTTGACTTCTGAAAGCCTAGTGCCCCAAGTGTTGCACCTCTAATGGAGTCACAAGCACCCAATGCAAGAAGAATGACTTGGGAGTGGGAAGAATTCGACTAGGGTAACTCCGAGAAGCATAGGGGCCGAATTCCTTACACTAGAGGGGTTTATATATATATATATATATATATGAGGGCTGCTAGGGTTTTTAGATGGAAACCCTAATTCCTTACTTAGGTTGGAGCCTATGGAAGAAATTTAAAGGCTTCCCATATTAGATTTCGTCCACTCTACTCTATGGAGTCCATCAGCCCAAATTTTGGAACTATCAATAATTTGAAAAACTAGTCCCTCAATTATTAATCTGTAACATCCCGAGTTCAGGGGTGTAAAGTTTAGGGTTCAAAGTGAAAGTGTGAATGATCAACTCGGCGAGTCCATGGGTAGACTCGGCGAGTAGGGTCGCAATTCTGGTCGTGTGTCTAGTGGCCAACTCGGCAAGTCGGTGGCTGGACTCGGCGAGTTGGTGATGTGTGGAGAAAACCCTAATCCCATGGATTTGGCCCTATATAAAGAACATAATACCCTCTCCCTAGCCTGTTTGCTCTCCCTTGAAGTCTTGAAACCCTAATATTCGTTGTGAGAGACTTAGAGAACATTTAGATCTTGAAAGGGTGTTTGTTGAAGATATCTTTGAAGATTAAGAGGCTTGGAGCAAGGGGCTTTTCAAGGTTTTGACTTATTCTTCTGTTGGAGCGTTCTTTTGAGGTAATGATTCGTTGCTTAAGCTTTTATCCATCTAGATCTATCATTTGTGGGATTTTTGGGTGTATATCTAGTGCTATCTTGAGTTTGGAGGTTAGATCTGAGGTTGCTACCTCAGATCTAGAATAGTGATGATCTAATAGAGCATAAAGTCCCTGTTCAAGAGCTGTTGATGAAGTATTTTAGCCCCAAACCTTAGCCCAAGAGTGTATTATGCTTAGATCTCCTTGGATTCACGTAATGTTTGCCACTTTACGTGATGGATGGCTTGTATAAGAGTAGATCTATGGATTGGAGACCCTGCATGGATTGGAAAGCCTCTGTATGGGTTAAGAGCTAGTGGTACTCGGCGAGTCACATGGGTGTACTTGGCGAGTTGCATGAAGATAGGAAGCAACTCGGTGAGTTGGAAGAACAACTCGGCGAGTTGGTTGAAGATAGCCTTGGACTCGGCGAGTCTGGTCTTGAGATCCTAACCTTTTCTGGTTAAGCTGAGAATCGGTGAGTCAAGGGATGACTCAGTGAGTTGAGTACGGTTTGACTCATAGTTGTGGGACTTGGCGAGTCTTGGGGCGACTCGGCGAGTTGAGTCGTGTGATGGGAGTTTCAGAGCATGAGGACTCGACGAGTCAGCGGGTTGACTTGGCGAGTAGAGTCAATCAGGAGGGTTGGCTTTGACTGAGGACTTTGACTTTGACCAATAGTTAACTAGTTGAATTCCAGGGGTATTTTGGTTGCTATTGGTATTTATTGGTTTCGGTGGTTTAGTGGTGGAGGTCTTGACGGTGGTCGGAGCAGCGTGATCTTGTTCTTCAGTCGGCAGTAGCAGGTGAGTCTTCTTACTATACTTTACCTTGAGTGGTAACTAAAGTTATGTGAAAGAGTTATTGTATGCTATTTAGGTGATGTGTTGAACTACATTATTTCTATGTGATTTATGTTGTGTGCATGTTAGAGTTAGGACCGGAAGGTCCATAGAGCTAGGACCAAGGGGTCCACAGAGTTAGGTTTAGAGTTATGTGCCAGTGTAATTGTATGCTATTTATTTTCTGAGATTTATTGTTGTTGAAGATAATAGAGTTGCGTCTTGGGCCCTTTTGTTTTACAACCGGATTGGGCTTGTCAATCCGTGTTCTACTAGATTAGCCTTCTTTTTCTTAGAAAAACTGTTAGGGTTTTATTATAAATATATGCATGCATGTATGCGTATAGCAACTGTCGTCACTCTCATTGAATATTGTAAACCCTAAAATCCTCTACAGTTGACGTTCTTTATCGAGCTCTTCTGAGGATTGTTTATTGAATCATTCGACACCTTTTGATTCATTAGCTTGTTCTTTATTGTTTATTTAGTCATTTATCTACCTGTTTCATAGATCTAATCGATCTTTAAGTTTATTTTAATCTCATCAATTGGTATCAGAGCAGGAGGCTGTGTAATCCATACACTTCTTTTCTGTGAAAAAGCTTCGATTAGGGTTATTCCGCATTCATTGATATTTATTGAGTCGTCATCTCATAATTGACGTAACTCAATATTTATTATCTTTGCCCTAATTCAATATATTACAAGTCTGATCTTTTAACAGGTTATTCGATCAATTATGGATGAGTCACAATCCAATCCCATCAATATTTCAAACAACATTGGATCAACAACAAAGATTCCCATCCTGTACACCCATGATTATGAAGTCTGGGCGAATCACTTTGAAGATTATGTCATAGGATCTGAGGATAATGGATACCTCATCTGGGAAGCAATTATCTCTGGACCGTTTTCTCATTCAGCAACTTCAAGGATTATTAAAACTCAAAAGGAGTATAATGATCTCCTGAAAGATGTTAAATGTAGCGCAAGATGAAAAAGTTAAATTTCAGTGCAATATCAAAGCGCTAAGATTGATTAGATTTGCTCTTCAATCCGATACCTTTAGGCTGGTAAGTTCATGCACAACTGCTAAAGAGATATGGGACAGGCTACGTGAATTGTACTCTACAGATGAAGATCTTGAACACTCCATTCAAACTTTGCTCTTGTCTGAGTTTGGTGAGTTCAAGCAAGGAACAGAAGAAACAGTGACTCAGACGTTTGATCGCTTCAATCATCTTCTTAGCAAGATGATCAAACATGACATCGAAAGGAAGCTTATTGAACAGAAGGTTACTTTTTTAAATGGACTCAGGTCTGAGTGGAGAGCAATTGTGTCCACAGTCAAAGCACACGAGCAATTCAAATCCTATTCTTTGGCGAAACTGGTGGGCATCCTAAAATCTCAGGAAAAGATCGTCGTGGTTTCAAGTATGGGTTCATTAGCACTCCTGTCGAAAAGCAAAGCTGTGGTAGAGGACGAAGATCTCAACTTGGATGATTATGATCTCACATCTGAAGACTATGATATGATGGTGTCAAACCCTAAGAGATTCATCAAGAAGAGATTCCCCACCAATAGGAACCGAAACTGGCAAGGAAGATATAGCACTGAAAAAGTCAAAGATGAACCGAAAGCTGAAGAAGCAAAGAAGGAACAGAAGGCTGAAGGAGATTCTGGAGTGAGCTGCTATTATTGTGGAGGAAAGAACCATATGCAAAAGATTGCGTCCTCAAAAAGATGGCAGAAAAGAACGAAGAAAATGATGAAGAAGCTGTGTTGATGAAAAAGCTTGATGAGTTAAGGAAGAAGAAATCTGCTGCTAACCCTTCCATGAATGCTTTAATTGTGCAGGGCTCGGTAGCTGATGATGAGTTCGGTGGCGTGGAGGTTTGGTCAACCGACTCTGAAGATGATGAAGTGAGGAAGCCTTCACATGGAAAGGCCTATGTAGCGAAAGAAGAAAGCAGTGGAGGAAGATGCTTGATGGTGTCCGACGTTTCTCAGATGAGAGGATACAACACTGATGGTGGGAATGATGACAAAGAACAGCAGAATCTATGCTTTACCGCCAAACCACTCAGCGAGCAGTTCAGCGAACTTGATGAACTGATCAAGAAGGTACAATCAGTTTTTGTCTCATTTAAAGTCCCACAATGCTCATATGAAAAGGAATTAAAAAGTGTTAATTCAAGAATCTCTCATCTAGATAGTAGTTTAACTCAAACTCGGGTCACCAACTCTAACCTAACTGATCAATTAAGCAGGGTGTCTTCGAAGAGTGAGGAACGGCGGATGTGGATCGAACTGAAGGAGTCAGAGTTAATCAAAATAAAAGATGAAAACATTTATTTGCAAAGAGACAATTTGAAGCTTTTGAAACAGCGAAATGTTTTTTGTCTGATTGCAAACGTCTTTATACTAATATTACTCAGCTTCATTTAAATTGTGAAATAGGGCAAAAGATTCATCGCATGATTTTACCCTTTCTTGAGTTTAAGGAAGATGAAATTGATGCTGACGCATATAATTGTGAGAGTATTATTTCGTCTGAGGATGTTAATCCAACATATTTATATGGACTGGACAAA